GGGGGACCCTGTCATAGGGGGCTGCTGGAGGCCATGGTGCCCTCGGGACCCCATTGGTGTGTGGGGCATGGGGGGACCCTGGTTTGGGGGGCTGCTGGTGCCCTTGGGACACCCCATGGATAGGTGGGGCATGGGGGAACCCTGGTTTGGGGGGCTGGTGGTGCCTTTGTGACCCCCATTGCTGTGTGGGGCACAGGGGGAGGACCCTGCTCTGGGTCACACCACAGCAGTAAAACATGGAGAAGCAGCAGCTCCGACCTCCTTGGGGTCTCAGCTCCCCAGGGGCTCCCAGCACCCGTGGAGGCCCCTCGGAGCAGGGGAACGCCGTGTCCCCACCGGGGTGCTGGTCCCACCCCGCCTGGCCTGACCCGGGTCTCTTCCCAGCTGCCATCCTGGAGCGCAACGGGAACGCCCTGGCCAACAGCGCCCGGCGCCTGGAGGTGGTCAGGAACTGCATCTCCTACGTCTTCGAGAACAAGATGCTGGAGGCCAAAAAGGTGAGGGGGGCTGGGACTGCGGGGTTGGTATTCTCCGTGGATGGAGAGGACGTTCCCTGTCCTGTGCCCACATCCTGCTGGTTGGCTTAGGGTCAAAAAGTTGTGGAATCACCAAGTTACTGAGGTTGGAAAATCCCTCTGAGCCCATCTCCAGCACTGCCAAGACTACCCCTGACTGTCCCCAAGTGCCACATCCACACGGCCGTGAAATCCCTCCACAGTTCGGGACTCCAAACCCCCCTGGGCAGCCCCTGCCAAGCCTGACTCCCTTTCCATGGGGAAATTCCTGCTGCTGTCCACCCTGAGCTGCCCTGGCCCAGCCTGAGGCTGTTCCCGCTCCTCCTGTCCCTGTTCCCTGGAGCAGAGCCCCACTTCCAGCTCAGTAAGAGGAGCATGGAGCCATTTGGATTGACAGTCCCTCTGGGACCATCAAGTGCCACCATTCCCCAGCACTGCCGTGGCCACCACTGACCCGTGACGTGTCCCCCTCCTGGTGTTCCTGTGATTTTGGCTGGTGACCGCACAGCAGCTCAACTCCACTGTTCCACCTCCCAGTGCCCCTGGGCTCCTCCTCCTCCTCCTCACCTGAATTCTGTCCCGCTCTGTCTCCGTGTCCGCGTGCCTCCCGTGGCAGTGGTGTGGGGCCGCTCCGTGCGGGAGCAGGGCTGTCCCGGCCCCGTCCCACCTCCCAAACCCCATTCCCACAGCTGTTCCCGGCCGTGCTGCGCGCCATGAAGGGCCGGGCGGCCCGGCACTGCCTGACCCAGGAGCTGCACCTGCACGTGCAGCAGAACCGCGCCGTGCTGGACCACCAGCAGTTCGACTTCGTCATCCGCATGATGAACTGCTGCCTGCAGGTGGGGCAGGGCCGGGGGGCTCCTTCTTCCCGTGGGACACGGCGGGGTCAGCCTCGGAATGTCCCCTGCTCACCCCTGCTCCCTCCCCAGGACTGCACGGCCATGGACGAGCACGGCATCGCCGCCGCCCTGCTGCCGCTGGTCACCGCCTTCTGCAGGGTGAGTGACCGCGGTGTCCCCACCCCGGAGCCCTCTGCATCCCCCCGGGTGGCAGAGGCTGCAGGGCGTGACCCCTCAGGACTTGTCAGCTCCTGCCCAGAACCTTCACCCAGCCCAGACTGGCCCGAGGCTCCCAGGGAGGCTGGGACACCTGTGGGAAGGGGGTTGCTCTGGAATGCCAGCTTGATCCCATGGTCAGGCTGGGCTGGGCTGAGCCTCTGGCTGGGCTCTGAGCAAGGGAACTTTCAGGGAATGCTGGAGGAGCTGTGGTGCAGACATCCCTCCTGCCTACCCAGGGCTTTCCCAGTGACCGGCTGGAGGAGCAGGGACACCCGAGTGGAGAGCTCAGCACAAAGGCTGTGTGCAGATGGGTCTTTTCCACCTACTTCCACAGAAACTGAGCCCTGGCATCACCCAGTTCGCCTACAGCTGCGTGCAGGAGCACGTGGTGTGGACCAACATCCAGTTCTGGGAGGCCATGTTCTACTGCGACGTCCAGAACCACATCCGGGCCCTCTACCTGGACAGCGCCGAGGAGAACCACATGGAGCAGGTGGGAGGGTGGCCCAGGAGAGCTCTTCCCAAAGGGCTGGGGCTCATCATGGAGTTACAGAACCATGGAATGGGTTGGGCGGGAGCCTCAAAGCCCTCCAGTGCCGTGGCAGGGACACCTCCCGCTGTCCCAGGCTGCTCTGGAATCCCGTTCAGCTGCCTGTTCCGGGCAGCCTGCTCGGCTGAGGATGAGGGGCTGCACCCCAGGTGTGGGAGATCCCCGTGGGTCTGTCCATGCAGACAGCCCCATCCCTTCCCCCTGCTCCAGGAGAGCGCGGAGGAGCCGCAGGAGGCCAAGTCGGCGCTGGAGATCGCCTCGGAGCAGCTGCGGCTGTGGCCCACCATGAGCCGGGAGAAGCAGCAGGAGCTGATCCAGAAGGAGGAGAGCACGGTGTTCAGCCAGGCCATCCACTACGCCAACAGGATGAGCTACCTGCTGCTGCCCCTGGACACCAGCAAGAACCGCCTGCTCCGCAGCTCCGGCCTGGGCGACGTGGAGAGCGTCAGCAACAGCTTCGTCACCAACAGGTGCTGGGACACGGGGGACACCGGCGTGACACGAGCTGGGACAGCTCCTGGGGTGGGCCAGGCTGCTGCAGGGAAAGCTGTCCCTGCTCGCTGTGGGGGGTTGGACCAGACGGCCTGTGAGGGTTCTTTCCAGTCCCAGCCATGCTGGGATTCCAGGGTTATGTCGGGATTGAGGCGGATTGTGGTGCCCAGGGGGCTTTCTGGGAGTAGGAGCTCTCCTGGGTCCATGCTGGGAGTGGGAACAGTCTTGGAATCCTGTCAGGAGTGGGAGGGAGCTTTCCAGGATCTCTGTTAGGAGTGGGAGCTCTCCTGCGATCATATCAGGAGCAAGAACTCTCCTGTGTTCCTGTGAGGAGTGGGAGCTCTCCTGGNTCCACCCTGAGCTGCCCTGGCCCAGCCTGAGGCTGTTCCCGCTCCTCCTGTCCCTGTTCCCTGGAGCAGAGCCCCACTTCCAGCTCAGTAAGAGGAGCATGGAGCCATTTGGATTGACAGTCCCTCTGGGACCATCAAGTGCCACCATTCCCCAGCACTGCCGTGGCCACCACTGACCCGTGACGTGTCCCCCTCCTGGTGTTCCTGTGATTTTGGCTGGTGACCGCACAGCAGCTCAACTCCACTGTTCCACCTCCCAGTGCCCCTGGGCTCCTCCTCCTCCTCCTCACCTGAATTCTGTCCCGCTCTGTCTCCGTGTCCGCGTGCCTCCCGTGGCAGTGGTGTGGGGCCGCTCCGTGCGGGAGCAGGGCTGTCCCGGCCCCGTCCCACCTCCCAAACCCCATTCCCACAGCTGTTCCCGGCCGTGCTGCGCGCCATGAAGGGCCGGGCGGCCCGGCACTGCCTGACCCAGGAGCTGCACCTGCACGTGCAGCAGAACCGCGCCGTGCTGGACCACCAGCAGTTCGACTTCGTCATCCGCATGATGAACTGCTGCCTGCAGGTGGGGCAGGGCCGGGGGGCTCCTTCTTCCCGTGGGACACGGCGGGGTCAGCCTCGGAATGTCCCCTGCTCACCCCTGCTCCCTCCCCAGGACTGCACGGCCATGGACGAGCACGGCATCGCCGCCGCCCTGCTGCCGCTGGTCACCGCCTTCTGCAGGGTGAGTGACCGCGGTGTCCCCACCCCGGAGCCCTCTGCATCCCCCCGGGTGGCAGAGGCTGCAGGGCGTGACCCCTCAGGACTTGTCAGCTCCTGCCCAGAACCTTCACCCAGCCCAGACTGGCCCGAGGCTCCCAGGGAGGCTGGGACACCTGTGGGAAGGGGGTTGCTCTGGAATGCCAGCTTGATCCCATGGTCAGGCTGGGCTGGGCTGAGCCTCTGGCTGGGCTCTGAGCAAGGGAACTTTCAGGGAATGCTGGAGGAGCTGTGGTGCAGACATCCCTCCTGCCTACCCAGGGCTTTCCCAGTGACCGGCTGGAGGAGCAGGGACACCCGAGTGGAGAGCTCAGCACAAAGGCTGTGTGCAGATGGGTCTTTTCCACCTACTTCCACAGAAACTGAGCCCTGGCATCACCCAGTTCGCCTACAGCTGCGTGCAGGAGCACGTGGTGTGGACCAACATCCAGTTCTGGGAGGCCATGTTCTACTGCGACGTCCAGAACCACATCCGGGCCCTCTACCTGGACAGCGCCGAGGAGAACCACATGGAGCAGGTGGGAGGGTGGCCCAGGAGAGCTCTTCCCAAAGGGCTGGGGCTCATCATGGAGTTACAGAACCATGGAATGGGTTGGGCGGGAGCCTCAAAGCCCTCCAGTGCCGTGGCAGGGACACCTCCCGCTGTCCCAGGCTGCTCTGGAATCCCGTTCAGCTGCCTGTTCCGGGCAGCCTGCTCGGCTGAGGATGAGGGGCTGCACCCCAGGTGTGGGAGATCCCCGTGGGTCTGTCCATGCAGACAGCCCCATCCCTTCCCCCTGCTCCAGGAGAGCGCGGAGGAGCCGCAGGAGGCCAAGTCGGCGCTGGAGATCGCCTCGGAGCAGCTGCGGCTGTGGCCCACCATGAGCCGGGAGAAGCAGCAGGAGCTGATCCAGAAGGAGGAGAGCACGGTGTTCAGCCAGGCCATCCACTACGCCAACAGGATGAGCTACCTGCTGCTGCCCCTGGACACCAGCAAGAACCGCCTGCTCCGCAGCTCCGGCCTGGGCGACGTGGAGAGCGTCAGCAACAGCTTCGTCACCAACAGGTGTTGGGACATGGGGGACACCGGCGTGACACAAGCTGGGACAGCTCCTGGGGTGGGCCAGGCTGCTGCAGGGAAAGCTGTCCCTGCTCGCTGTGGGGGGTTGGACCAGATGGCCTGTGAGGGTTCTTTCCAGTCCCAGCCATGCTGGGATTCCAGGGTTATGTTGGGATTGAGGCGGATTGTGGTGCCCAGGGGGCTTTCTGGGAGTAGGAGCTCTCCTGGGTCCATGCTGGGAGTGGGAACAGTCTTGGAATCCTGTCTGGAGTGGGAGGGAGCTTTCCAGGATCTCTGTTAGGAGTGGGAGCTCTCCTGCGATCATATCAGGAGCAAGAACTCTCCTGTGTTCCTGTGAGGAGTGGGAGCTCTCCTGG